ATTAGCCAGTGTTGTGAACATTTCCCTCGGGGCACCAGGCAGCACCCCATTGTATTTATGCCTTCCACCTGTATGGGGTGCTGCGGGTGGTGACCTTTTAAATCTCCATGACTTGTGGGACCGAAATGAATAAAGGAACCAAATATCAAACCAGTCGTAAGGACCTTAAACAGAAGAGGGATCCCTACGAGAAATGCTTCAGCAGGGTACTGGAAGCTCTGGTGAACCATTAAGGGGCCCAGTTGCAACCAGTGAACATGCTGTTGAAATTTCAGCCAAAGGCAGGGACGAACCAGTGGTTCAAAACCTGCCTGAGGTAAAACCAAAATCTACTCTCCTAGGGGTCAGTAGTACTGACATACCACTGCAGAAGGTATGTCAGCACACATCCTGTGTGACTGTGAGGCCACAGCTTATTTAAGATTTCATCACCTGGGTCAGTTTTTTATGGAACCAAGGGACTTTCATGACGGCCCCAAAAGCAGGGTCCTACACGTTATTAAAAGTGTAGGATTAATAAAGGGGTAATCCAAGGGGAAGCACAACAAGAGATCACTGAAGGTCGCAGTCCGGGGGCTGGTTTTTATGGCCCACTCCTTACGTACATTACAATATGCTACTGTGTAGTCTGGTAGGTGCATATCAACATTTTGGAGGAACATACTTCCCTCCTTTGTCAGACCTTGAAATTAACAGCAGTAGGAAGGCTGGTACTCACCTGCAGTACAGTACCATAAAGCACAAGACCATAATACAAATTGCCACCGCTTTGAAAACCTTATATCTTGTCACATTTATTCTTCTGCAGGAAAGACCAATTTCAAATTTTATTTCATCACAGAGAATACTGACAGTCAATGCTGAATGCTAACAACTTCTCATTTCAGTGTAAATCACTGTTCAACCCAACTGAAGAGTGGTCATGTTCAATTCAGCAGAAATCATGTACCTGTTTTTGAGATGCTGGAATGCTGCTCGAAGGTCCACTGGGGGCAAAGTAAACTCATGTGTACCAACTTCCCCTGTATTCCAGTATACAAGGCCAGTCCTGTAGGAAAGCCCTATTTGCTGGAGACCCCGAAACAAATCAGCAAGCGCTTTTCGCTTCTGTTGTAGGAAGTTCTTAGCCTGAGATTTCTGCTTAGGTTTTGGTAAGTCAGCTGATACTTCCAGGTTCTTCAAATGGTTTGATGTTTCAATAACTTCAGTTATCAGCCCTTCCACTGTCTGAACACATTTGGCATATGGAGTGTTCAGAATTGTTTCTCTGCAAAGTTTTCTAGCTTTCATAAATAGCGACCCAGATCGATTAAGGAGTGAGCCTTCTGTAATGGCATCATCCCATTCCACTGTTAATTTCTGAAACCAAAATAATTTAGAAACTGAATATACAATATGATGTAGCACAATGGACATAATTATGGAGGACCGTGATCAAATCTCCTCAACTGGAATCATGATGGGTACAGAATGGAGTTAGAGACAATGGAAACAAACATATCCACTTAGAGAGTAAGAATGAACATATCCCATATACTGTAGCATTGTGAAAGTCAGTCAGCATATTGCACGAAACTTAACAAAATTAAAAAAGTGTTCTCCATCATGTAGTGAATGGCATTCTTTGCAGTTTATTAATTTTACACACAATTTGTTTAAACATTTTTTATGAGTTTAAGTTTATAGTACTTCTTGCAATCAGTCCCATACTACATCCTTCAAAATGTTCTTTGTTACCATAGCATGTCTATGAAAACACATACCAAACAAGAATGGCAGAAACTCCACGTGTACAAAGCACACAATACATATGATGTTTGAATATCAGCGTAAAAATTTAAGCAGTCATTTTCTTATTTGTACTAAGCCTGCACGGGATCTGAGGTTCTCCCAGTGGTGAGCATGAAGGTTATGGCCTGATGCTGCTTCCAGAGACCATGATCTTAATAATATATCTTGCATTAATATTAATAAATTTTGCACATAAAAACTGAATGATGGGCAGTACACTACAGGAAGCAAGTACCTTGAGTCTGGTGTCTGCTATAAAATTCATAGGCTCCAACAGACTCTGGTACGTCCTTGGTTGATGGCGTTGAGGTCGGTCCCACATTCCTATATTTACGCCTCCTGTTTCGGATGACGGATTTGTTAAGGACTCTGTTACTGGCTGATTCAGAACTTCCTACAACCAACAAGAGAAAATACTACCAATTACAAGCCATGTTACAATCAGCTGTCTCACACTACAGCTATCCAAAGAATCTGAAAATGCATCAGGACAAGTATATTTCCATCGGCTACATGTTCAAATTAAACAATGCTAATAAACAGAAACTAAGTGCTGAGCAAGGTGGATCATGTGGTAATGCTTCAGACTTGTATTCATGCTGGAACACTGGCTCTCCTGACTGAGGTTTTCAGTGGTTTTCCTCAGTCTCACCAGGCAAATTCAGGCATAGTAATTTCACATAGGCCACAACTGGTGCCTTCCACATCCTTCCCAATTCACTATTCACTATCACTGAATCATTCAACACTATGTACTCTAGTTTCTAGCAGTGTCATTAAATGAACTACAAATAAGTAAAACTTAACGTAAGAATCAGAGATCTAAACTTCTGCCCTCGTCACAATTTTAAGAAAAATAGCTACTAATAAAAAAGGTCTACAACATGAATAACAAGTCTGAGTTTACGTCTGCTGTCGACAACCACCCTCACACGAGACACTCAATGATGGCAACTAGCATGACCATACACTCACCTGAAACTGTCTGATGTGTTTGTGAAGGGTCTTGTGTACCTTCTTTATGGCCTCCTTAATGGCCCAGTGACTAATGTCGTCCCAACGGAAAATCTTCACACAATCTTTCAATTTCTTTTCAATGGGAGCCCTCAAGTCTCTAATTCTTGTTGCTACAGCTTCCGAGAACTGAGAGTAGTAGTGGTATACATTCCATAGTATGTTCATCACCTCATCTGCAAATATTTCAAATGGTACCTTTACACCACAACACTACTGTTACTAGATCTGTCACGTTTCTGTTGATACTTTGATACAAACTAGATGCAGATATCCAGGCTCTGCTTCAGTCTCTTCCCAGCTGAACTGCTGAAAGCCACAAGAGGTGCAGCCTGACATGAAGCACGATTCACATAGCTTCGAATAAAATACCAGATTCTCCCTGACAAGGTCACATGTTCAGTTTGAGGTGGAGGCAGATGTTTTGTTTCACCCCATTTTTGCATAAAGATTTTCTGCAGGAGTGACGTTGTGCTAATATTTTGTGCATTTACATGTTACTAAAAAATAGGTTTGTTGGCAGGAATATTATTTGCAGCTGACTGTGCTCAGAGGATGCTGCTCAAACTAAACACTTCAGATACTTATTGTTTGCTAAAATATGTTCCCATGCCTCTTCATGCATAGATACAGAACAGTTATCTATCTCACCAGACTCTGCTCCATGCAAACTCTGAGATTTTTACATTCTTTGGAAAGCAGCATGTAGTAAGGAGAGACAAATGCCTACAGTTAGGGTCTCTCAACCCTCCCAGCCTCTGCAACTGGGGGAGGAGGAAGGACTGTGCTTTCGGGGTGGGTGTGCACACATGGTGAAAATGTGGTTACCAGCAATAACAGAAAAAAGCCATAGCCAAGCATCTGCTTCAAAGGAGGAGGAAGAAAGGAAACAGTCACTCTAGCCCCCGCCACCCTCAGCAACATTATCACATGGCCATCTCAGCATCTCACCTCTGCAAACTGCCTGCTGCATGTGAACAACATGGCAGTGAAACGCAAACAAAATGTTCAGCCTTGCTTCATACTCTCCAAGGGATGACTGTTCCATGAATTTCTGAAAAGTTTTTACCAACTCTTGTGCTGATGACTCTGTCTGCTTGGCTGTGAATGACTCCACTAGGGAATAAATGTAGAACCACCATTTTGATGCAGCTGCTTCTGCTCTGAAAGAAGATAGGACACACGGCACTTGAGAATACTGTTCATGTATGACACAGTTGACAGCTGCACACATATGGTGTGTGTGTGTGTGTTGTGTGCAGCAATGACTGCTGACCACAGGGCCTGAACTCTGCTGGATATTGGCTCTGTCCTGTGAGGTATCTTTTGGTTTTGAGATTTACTTCTTCACAATGGAAAATGTTAAGATCACAGTTTGTGATGAAAGTGTTTTATGAAACTGACATAAATTTTGGACATTTTCCATTGTGTTGGTTTGGTTAAAGAGACATAATTTTGGAAGCTGGTTCAGTTTCTTTCTTAAAGTAAGAAACCTATTCCACCGGGACCACGAAATGGTGCTTACGTCTATCCCTGGACAACAAAAGTAGCTCTAATCATGGTATGTGAACTGTGGATGTCAGAGATCAACAGCATGACTAAACTTTCATGTCTTAACATACATTCCAATGCTTCTTTAAATTTAGCTAATAATCACTGTGACACTGAGAAAGAAAGCAGACATATCCCAGGTGAAGAATGACTACTTCTGATACAATCTTATTGTAATCTAAACTGTAAATTGTAATGAATTTATTTATAAAATTAATATGCATTTATATACCAAGTTTTATCATTTACTTAAAATGGATCAAAATTTCACTTCATCAAATAATTTGCAAGGATTATGAAAATAAAGGACATTAACAACACTCACTTCCTTGCCACATTGTCAAGACTGTCCTTCCAGCACTGCAGTTCCAGCTTGCGCCAGCTGCCAATCTGATCTGTCACTGACTTCCAGAGGGCTGCTAAGCTGACACCACTGTGAGCATTCTCTTCCCACTCATGCATCTTATCCAAGAGAAGCTCTAAACCGGTGAGGAAACGTGAAACTGGACTGGTCAATGGGAAGTTCAGAATCCGCTGTATGATGACGAGCATCTACATGAACACAAACACAGTCACAGTGAACTAGATGTTTCCTGCTAAAGTGTCACAGTCATTCCTGCCAGTCATGCATATTCTCACCAAGAGGTGATGCCCACAGAAGAAAAGGGAAAGTCTGGCAGTACATACAGGTGGCAGTGTTCATGTAAAAACAACCTTAATATAAAACGAACATAGCAAACTTAATTCTTAAAAAGTCAAAGCAAAGAAATTAATATGAAAACAGGCCTAAGATTACTGTGATTGTGACAGTCAGTTTTCTTTCCCATTATTTACTGTTCTAAATCATAACATATAATTAAAAGAAATTAACTTGTTTATTTCATTGAAAGTGAAGTTCTCTTGCATTCCTGTCACAAAATGTTATGATACTATCCATGTTGGGATAGCAGTGGTACTTTGGACACAATTTGAAGGAAACAGTGTTTCAAGGACATTCAAGCAAGGAATTCCCTATTTAATCTTTTCTCTAGTGACAGCAGGACAACCTTTCAGTGCAGAGACACCCAATACATCTCTCTGTTATAGACCTAAACTAAGAAGAAAATGCTGTTATTAGCACAATCCATTCATCTTGCAGTTACACTTAATGTCTTCCTCATTCTAACTGCCTGGAGATGAGCTCTTCTTGATATGCTGCCAATTGTGCAGCTACTCAAGAATTTCCCACATTTTATGGAACCTGAGGGCTCATCAGCGTGTTCACAAGAGCCCTCCACTGGTCCCTATCCTGAGACAGATCAATCAAGTTCATACCACTCCATCCTATCTCTCTGAAATACATTTTAATATTATCCACCCATCTATGTCTTGGTCTTCCTAGTAGTCTATTTCCTTCTGGCTTTCCCACCAATATTCTACATGCATTCATCTCCCCCATTCATGCTACATGCCCTGCCCATTACATTTGGAGAAGAGTCCTTCCTCATGCTAACCTGTTTTAAAGTAGGATGGTCTGGCCATTCTGCAAGAAGTTCTCTAACTCTGACGGCCACAGCCATCAGCACTGGAAAGCACTGCTTCACTTCCTCAACAAAGCCATCTCTGTAGAAGTCAAATATCTTCACTTTAGGCACTCCGCCAAGGAACTTCCCTTGTCGTGACGGACTACCAGTCAGTGGCAAGTCACCAACATCGGAGAACTTTGTTCTCCCTTTCTCAATGTAGGCAAGTGTCGCAGACGTGAGTAGTGACAGACTGGGATAGAGGGCAATGTCGAGGGAGCTATCAAGACTTCTCGACAGATTCTCCAACAGCAAGCCAAATATTTTGTATCTGAAAATAATCACAGCCATTCTGTGTTACACACAATAAAGGCAAGCAGGAGAACTACTGATAAAAACATTCAATTATAGGAATCTAAAGGGAAAGTGCATCATGGGAAAAGAGCAGGAACAAAATGTTAAACAATATTACAGTAACTCAAAAGTAAATCCATGGCAGATCAGCAAAACCATATATAAACTGATATACTGTGTCTACAATGCATGGTGCAATCCAAAAGTTCCCGAAATCTATATAAATAAAAACTATTACATCTTACCTGGATCTTATTCTGCACCATCACCTTCAAAGTAGACCCCTTGGGAGTGCAAACACCGATCCCAGCGTTTCTGCCACTTTTCAAATGCATCCTGGAAGTCTTTCTTTGTTAGGGTGTTTAGTACCATCTGCATTTCCACTTGATTTTCCTCAACACTATCAAATCTTCGCCCCTTCAACTTGATTTTCATTTTGGGTAAGAGAAAGAAGTCACATACGGCTAAGTCTGGCGGGTACGGTGGGAGGGGAACAACTGCTATCTTGTTTTTAGCCAAAAATTCCTGGTCGTGCGTTGTCATGGTGGAGTACCCAGTTGTTCGTGCGCCACTTCTCTGGACGTTTTCTCCTCATGTCCTCCCTCAAACGCCTTAGAACATCGCGATAGAACTCTTTATTGACTGTCTGACCAGGAGGGACGAACTCCTTATGAACAATCCCGTCAATATATAAAAAAAAAGCAAATCAACATGGACTTAATGTTGCTCTTGACTTGTCGAGGTTTTTCTGGCTAAGGTTAAGAAGAGCTCTTCCACTGCAACGATTGCTGCTTACTTTCAGGGTCCTAGCCATAAACCCAACTTTCATGACCAGTGATAACCTTCGAAAGAAAGTTTGGATCCTCTTGAAGCTGCTGTTGAAGTTCCTGCAGACTTCCAAGCGATGCTGCTTCTGTTCATGTTGTAGCAGTTGTGGCACAAACTTCGCCGCAATCCCCTCATGTTCAGTTCTTCTGATAAAATTCGTTGACATGAACCATAACTTAGTCCCAAGGTGTTTTAGAGATCTTGGATGGTCAGTCTACTATCTTGCAAAATCTGATCCCTAACTTTTGTGACATTTTCTGGTGTTGTGCCAGTTGACGGCTGTCCCAAACGATTGTCATCATCAGTCGATGTTCGACCATTTTTGAAACGCTTATACCAGTCGTAAGTTTGTGTCTGGACTAAACTGTTGTCACCAAAAGCTTGCTTCAACATTTGGCGCGTTTCTGCAGCGGATTTCCCAAGTTTAAAACAAAACTTCATACAGACACGCTGCTCTCTCAGATCAGCCATTGCAAAACCACAAACTCACGGAAACACAACAATGGATATATGTTCACCAACAATAAATCCAACCACTCAATTCAATGCCACTTGCCACACTGATTCAAGAAGGGTGTGTGGGAAGACACCCAGCTGTATTTCAATGTACTCATAACCATTCGTGCACAAAATTCAAATTTCGGGAACTCTTGGATTGCACCACGTACCTCTGAGGTTGCATATTATCAAAGAGTGGCATAGACCTCATGTTATAATTAGAACATTAGTAAGTTCTACTTTCAACACTCAACAGGAATCAGTCACCATACAGAAGCTCTTACATATTCTGCAGTATATTAAAATGCATTTCAGTTCTAATTTAGTGGAAAGTTACATTAAAGAAGGAAAACAAAGCAACATAACTAGAAAATACATAAGCACTAGAGTTAAGTGCGTTCTCTTAGACTTAATTTGTCCAATTTGGATTTGATCTCTGAAGTGGAAGAAAATATGCAGCCAGAATGTCCACAGTGTTCAAGATTTATGCCATACTTTTCTGGGTCATGACACTGTTTAGTCTGCCACTGGTTAAAAATATACTGTCTGCATCTTCACCCTGAAGACGGAAACAGGAAGTTCCTCTGTATCATTGGTATTGTAATGTATTTGGAGTAAGCACCTCCATGGTAATGCAATAACAGTGAGCTCTTGCACATACAATGCCGAAACAATGAATGAATATCCCGGAGACAAACAACCAAAGACTTGTTGCATAACAACGGACCATCTAAATAGTAGTAACAGAACCGTGAGAAATGATATCTGCTATCCANTGGTATTGTAATGTATTTGGAGTAAGCACCTCCATGGTAATGCAATAACAGTGAGCTCTTGCACATACAATGCCGAAACAATGAATGAATATCCCCGGAGATAAACAACCAAAGACTTGTTGCATAACAACGGACCATCTAATAGTAGTAACAGAACCGTGAGAAATGATATCTGGTATCCAGTCTGCATAACCCCTATATAAGCAGAGCTTATGACATGTATAGAGCATTGAGAACAAGACAATCTTTGGATAGCCGCCGCCAGAGACAATTGAGATCCAACCACGGACAAGGATAGTTGAGACGTCGCATTGAAGTAGAGGCAGTAGTTGTGATACTGCAAGTGGTAACAATTGTAAGGTGTGTAAGAGTGAGTGTCCAATAAAGATTCGCTAAATCTGAGACCCACGTGAAGTTATTTGTCTCGTGACATACCCAACACGTGACAGTATCCACTTGGAAGACTAGGCGGTGAGACATAGCGTAACAACAGAAACAGCATTACCTCTGCAGTAACGGTGTGATGAAATCTGGTTTCAGGTGGCACTGCCTGCCACAGACGAGCGCAGGTGACAGCCATGCACAGCTCGTGTATGTCCACACTATATGACAATGTAGCTGGCAGATAGAGGCCATGTCTTTTTCAGTCAGTATGTCAACTATGGACACACTCTGGGCTTTCTCTGCAACTGGAACTTGCTCTAGTGTGGCCTGTTGCTGCAGGTCACCGAAGTCACCGGCACCAGATGACGGAAACATCTCCTCTACCTCTAGAGCAACCTGCTCTGCATCGCTTAGTGTTCGGCATCTGTCACAATCACAGCAGCGTATGCAGATATGAATTATAATTTTTGCAGAGGTGACTGTTCAGACTGGTCTTCTGTGTTATGACACTGTGTGGTCCTGTAGGTCTCCTTCATCTACGGGGTTAAAGTGAAGAGGGTGCGAGTGTGGTTATGTTATACAAGCACACTGCTTCCTTGCAACATGTTTCTTTGAAATGTTGGTGTCCAGCTACAAGACTACACAGTATCACAACATAACACAGCCTGTGCCAGCCAGGCATTTCGAGGATGCAGCAGTCGGAGCACTGAGCACATGAACTACTGACATGGACATTCATAAACTTCACTAAATCTGATCTAAATTATGTTACTCTATGCCTACACCCCATTATGCATTATCAGCTGTCACTGAATCTGACAGATTATTTCAATTAATGATTATCTTTGTAAAACGGTGAAGATGGCTGAAATTGCCACACTTATGGTAAAGCAAGAATTTGCATTGTTCCTGGTCAACACACCATAAATATACCCCATAAACAAGGGATGATGAACCTTCTCACTGCCTGGTTTCAGATTTACATTGAAAGTTTCTTACACTAAGAAGAGATGCCAGCTACCTCCAGTGCCCCAGCACTACCTGGTGACGTAACGAGATATTATTGCCACATATCTCCGCAAAGTTCTTCAGTTCTCAGCTTGTGTATGGCTTTCAACAAGATAACACACCAGTGTTTTCTTGTAGCTATCCTTCTCTGGGTACTCATACTTTCAGTGTTCAGCATGGATACATAAAGTAAGAGTAAAACGCGTCTCATGAAAAATTATATCGGCTTGGAGAACTACTGTGTTAACACAGGTAAAAACCTGTCACCATCAGTGCCAGTCAGTATCTGAACCAGTGGCAAATTTGATAACTGTGCAATTGGTACATCATCCCTGCACTAAACTAATGCTTCTGCAACAAACATGTTTGGTCCCTCAAAACTGATATGGGAACTTCATTTTAAGTCCAGCACTCAGTAACAAGAAGGAGATTCACCCACACATTCAAATGAACAATGAATCATGTAAACAGGGGAAGTAGTGACACGGTTCATTTCTTCCTGTTTGCTGCCCTTGTGCCTGTTAGACACAACTTACTTTGTAACAAACAAGCTCTCTTCTTCCTTTGCCTTTTGTTTTCTCTCGTCCTCCTGCTGGTTCCAGTCTCTTACGATATGATCCAGAAGCTGTGTAATTTTCACCCAAATTTCATCCTTTAATTCACCTCTGATCATTACAAGATTCTTCAGCTCTTCAAGGCTTGATTTAATTAAGCTACAAAAATAATAAAGACAACAGACTGTAGAAATGTGATAACTGACAAATGGCAGTGAGTTCGAAGAGATCTATACATAATTATAATGTAACTCTAAATTACAGGTAGTCCGAACTGCAGAACAGAAACAATTAAGGTTCATCTGCTTGCACATACCTATGACAAGGTTTCAAACACAGCAGAATGCTTACCAGTATGTTGCCCTTCTGGCTTGCTGCAGATCAGTCCCTTCACTCAAAACTCTGTTGATCACGGCTACTGTGCTGTCAGATGTGCAGGTATTCACAAGAGACACAAGAGAGGACTGGCCCTCTCCCAAAGACGGGAAGCGAACAAGGTCACGCAACAACTTGTTCAAATTGAGTTGCTCATTTCCAAGTGACATTCTGGTTCGGATCACTGCCTTCTGAAGTACAGTAGCTAACTGGCGCATTCCATAGCAAAGCTGGAAAGAAAATGATGACTCAGTCACGAGAGCTCTGCTGCATAATAAGACTCACAACAGTGCAAGTTAACAGTTGCTGAACAAAAGCAATATCATTCATCACACAAACATTGAAGACAGGGCTGTGCCATAGCTCAAGCGGTTAGTCGCTGGCTTCCCACAGCAGCAGTCCGGGTTCGATCCCAGGTCTGGTCAAGTGGGATTTGTGGTGGACAAAGTGGCGTTGGGGCAGGTTTTCTCCGAGTACTTTGGTTCCCCTGCCAATCTTCGTTCTGCCAATTGCTCCACAATCACCCTCACCTATCATCTGGGGCTGGTACAATAGGCCAAAAGTGGCCGCAGTACAAGGGACTTAGCCCCACCACACTAGCAATAAAATAAAAACACTGAAGACAGCAACAGAAAAATCATCCTTGGACTGTACTTATCAGGAACATTTTAGTTTCAAGCAACATAACACAATTCTACATTAAAATATGGAAAATGGGGGATTGACAGCATCAGGGTGACAATGAACTCCAGTTCTCAGTGTTCTGAGTTCTATCCCTGGTCACAGCTGAGTGCAGATCTCTCTCTCTCTATGAAAAATAAAAACCAGTGAGAATGTGAAGAATACCAGGCACCCCTCACCCATGGTTCAGAATCCATAGTTGTGCATTCCCTCTGGTGACTACATGGCAGCATTCTTTGCAGCCACTGTCATGGGAATCCAAAATCTAACGGAATTAAATGATGCTGTCCTTTTGCCACACAATATCAGCAACGTTTCCAGCAGCAGTCCCTGCTTACTCACAGCACAAGCTGCTCACTGAGTAACAAGACGAAGCTCACCTGGGTCGCAGCAGAAAGCAATGGCTTCACCATGTCCGGGTACCAACTGCAGTAACGACTGTTCAGTTTGTCATAAAATCTCAACTGTGACTCCTGCCACACCTTCTCCTCCCTCAACACATCTTCTGCTCTGCTGATGAAGGCCATCTTTTCTTTATCACTCTTTGAGTTTGTATCCAATTTGTGAATTGCATCAACAAGGCGTCTGTGCATATTCAGAACCACCTCACTGGAAGCCAAACTTTTTGAATAGTGCAGTGTTTCCTGCAATGGTATACATTTTCATTTTTAAACTTGTGATAGTGTTTTCATATAAAAGAATGACATAAAAGATTCCACATATTCAGCCCTGGAGAGTATGAAACATTTAATTACTTTAAAATAAATAAGATGTACATGTGGACTGGAGAGTATATGAATAATGCTTCAAAATTTATTTAAATATAGATCCTGTACATGTCATGCACATGGCTACCTTAGCTAAAGAGTCAAACAGCGGGGGATCAGGCCTTGCAGCTACACGGTCGTTGAGTTTGTGCTGTCTGGTAACCAAATGCTTCTGTCTCTCTCTGAGTGCTACAATACGAGGGTGAAGGTGACTGTCATCAAACTTATCAAGACTTGCGCTACAAACACGTGACTGCAGTTCCTGGGCATACAACATCTTTCCAGTTTCCTCTAGCTGCAAGAATGACACAACATCTTACATTTTGTTTTCTATGGACATCTTGGATCATTATATTCACAGAAGTACCAACCAATTTTAAGTGAGAAAATGACCACTTCAACATCAGTGACTCTACAATAGCCTGAAACCAATTAACGATTACAATTCTTACCTCTTCTGAAACATACTGTAACTTCAGTCTTCTCTTTGCCACTGGATCCATTAGTCCAAGATCTGCAAATAACACAACCTGCAAGAATCCTAAAAGGACCCAGGATTCTGCTGCTGACACAAACATCTGAAAGTCACTGACATCCCCTGCCGTGACTTTGCCACAAGAACCTGCGACAGTCCTTACACTGTCCTCTAGACCCATGACTGTGTCAGCTAAGTGCACCAGCACATCTGCAAACTGTTTCTTCTCTTCACCTGCAGAAGCATGGTGCTGCCATCTGTCACCACCTTTATAGTCCTTCAGAATCTGCACCACTTGCTCGACATGGGCCACACAGTTTCCACCTGGCTCTTCAGCTGCACTGCTGCCCAGTGCCGAGAGCAGGGCTCGTACAAATCTTCGGAAGAAAGACTGAACACTCAGAGCATCATTTAACCTGGAGAAACAAAATTACATAAATACGTTTTGCTAATAAAAATTGACTTCACTTTTCTCATTGCAAATTAGCCCTTTTGCTGTGTATTAATTTTAACCATTTTCCTAAAATAATGCAATTTTAAGGGAAAATGATAAGAAAAAAACATATACCCCTTTGAATAAAGTCACATGATGCAGTGAAGAGAGACGATAATTTCTTGATTTGGACTGAGTTGAATATCACACTACCCAGGAATGCATGCCTGTTTGACTTCAGTCCAATACTGGAGCAATACAGTTAATGAAAATTCTAGGATTATTATTATTGTTGCCGCTGTAGTTAATCTTCAGAAGACTATAACCGAATCACAGCCATTACATTTTGGAGCTGCTGGGGTAACTCGGTAACTGGAAACACCAGTGACTGGCTTTGTGCTGAATAACTGGAGTTCAATTTCTGACAGACATAGATACTATGTTCACCACAACATCCAGATTGGCCCCGGGGCTGTCCCAGCCTATGTAATGGTTACCGTTGTTCCCAAAGAACAAGGCAATCTGGGTGTGATGATATCCATTCTCAACCCCCAACTATTACTCAATTTCTGTACATTAGGTACAGTACCAACACAATACCTGTACATTTACCAGAAACTCTTAGCATCAAGTGACTCCTTTTAAACCACATGCAACAAGATACTCACCAGCTTCGTCAAGTGACAGAAATGACAAACAGCAGTACTTACTTGTAGTTAAGTTCTGGTGCTGAAAGAACTTTTGTATTTCTCCAAAGTACTTCCTTCAGTACGCTGAGCTGTCGCTTATAAGCTCTGTGTGAGCCCAGTGTAGTCTCAGTGCTGCTGCTTTGGCAATTTGGCAAAGCAAATGATGTCACAATGTTTGTCATAAGTGGGCAATGCAGAGGAAAGGCATCCTAAGCAGAAAAATTACATATCACCGTTCTGAAATACTTGCAGCTAATTTACACCGCTTCACTCCCTACACATATTTTAAACAGGTGTAGCAAGTTGAACAGAATGTAAGATTTGAGGCTTTCACGGCGGTGAATATGAAGAAAGCAGTCTTCTGGGATTTGGCACCGTGTATATGTGGTGTTAACCGACGTTTCGGAGGAACGTATCGCCTCCATCTTCAGGGTAGAAGGAAAAATATAAGAAATCTGCAAGCGAAGAGACTATGAGAACCGGTAAAAGCAGACTGGTGACCAGCTTGCGGATTTCTTATATTTCTCCTTCTACCCTGAAAATGGAGGCGATACGTTCCTCCGAAACGTCGGTTAACACCACATATACAAGGTGCCAAATCCCAGAAGACTGCTTTCTTCAAGTTGAACAGAACTTCATCAAGACTGAACTAGGAAACTATGATATTAATATTCCAGCTGCAGAACTATTTGCCATTTTCAAATGACAACACAAAAATAAACTTACTTCTCTGTTATCATCAGCTCCTGTCCAATCCACTTCCATCTCACTTCCATTGCTTTCACCATCCGAAGCTTCCCGTCTCCATGACAACCAGTGTTTCAGCTGTTTTACACTTGGAGACAGCTCTGAATGTTGTAATATCACCATTATTAATTCTGGAATGAGATTCTTAAATCTGTCTGAAGTGGCATCAGTCAGCAGCTCATTTGATTCAGCCAGAAATTTAACCATTGATACCAGTATAGGAGGGATGCTTGGCAGCGGTAGCATAAGGGAACTTAGATTTCTGGCAATGTCTTGGCATGATGCAATGCTTCCATTCTGCTGACATAATGCCCGCTTGAGGGCACCACTGAGGGCAATGCACAGCACTTCAAGTACTGGCCATAATGGAACCTCCGAGTTACTGTGCATAACAGAGCCATTCTCCCTGCTGACGGTGTATGGAGAGCAATGGGTGAGACCAGACTCCTGGCACGACTTCTCTACTTCCTTAATGACATAACTCACTAGAAAGAAACACAAAATTCACACACTGAAATGCATCAAGCATGACTGACTACACATCAATTCAGCTCATGCATTCGTTCAGCCCTCACACGCCATGTTGCTTGCATATGAGCCGCACTCTCAGGAATTGGTGCATCTGCTTATACACACTTCAAAGCATAAGCAAAGCATAAAAATTAAGTTCACAATTTTGTTGAGTCTGTGCTTACTATGTGCAACACCTGAAACTGGTTTTATACCCCACACTTCAGCATATACTGCAAGAGCAAGGGCATACCCCTCAGATGCATGCAAGAGACAAACATTCAGCAACTCAGTGCAACCTGATGCATACCTTGGTCAGTGTTATCTCCACGAACCAACCACTGGTGGGCTCGAACAAGGTCAAGACGAGCCTTCATGCCAGCCTGTGTCTGGAGGAAGCCAACAATGTCTTTAGACTTAGCATGGTGAGTCCATTTATCACCTGGCCACAGAGACAGCAGATCTGACAATCTGAAATTTTGTAGAACGAAAACATTAACAAGTATTACTCTGAGAGTAACTGCTGCTAATGAATATGCAACAGTTGAGAGGGAATTGTGTTTGTTTCTACATTGGGATAAACAACTTGACAACTACCTGAGATCTGAGGTTTTCACAGTGGTGACTGGTTATACACGTGTGTAGTCTAGTACATGCACACCAATGTTTCAGAGGTACGTGCTGCCTGTCCTCAATGTACGACTGAAAATGGAACCAATATGTTCCTAGACCGCGCCACAGCTCAAGAGGTTGGCCGCTGGCTTCCCACCGTGGCGACCCAGGTTCGATCCTGGGTCTGGTCAAGTGGGATTTGTGGTGAACTAAGGGGCCATGGGGCAGGTTTTCTCCAAGTACTTCGCCTGCCAATCCTCATTCCACCAACTGCTCCACAGTCACCCTCACCTATCATCTGGGGCTATTACAAAAGGCCAGTTGTGGCTGCAGTACAAGGGACTTAGTCCCACCCCACTAGTTCCTACAAAGTGCTGGTAATCACCTGCCAGGCTATGGAGTCATAGGTGCCTTAAAAGAGCTGTGTCCACCTGAACCTGCAGGTTTCATGTAAACTGAACAGAGTTGAGTGATGGTTATAATGCTGTCACATTCTGTAGTTCATTCAAAAGACCCTAAGTGAAACTGCATGCGGCATCTGAATCCCACATGAAGTGTATTCATTACACGACACCTCTAGTACATTTAAATAACATTTTAAAATTTAGTTTGTACTTCACAGGAAACATGCGGTGCTTTCCATACAAAAACCAGTCGACAAATGCTATTCTGGGAAATTACTGCTAATTGTTCCAAGAATGATATGACACACACAGATATAATCAGTGGGCAAAATGCAGAGTTTTGAATGTTAAATTCAGTGGTACATTTCCTTGCAGTCTCTCTTCCCTACATCATTACATTAAAGGCTTCTACGTTTGCCCAGTTCGTGCGTAACTTGTCTTGCCTGGCTTTTATGTCCTCTTCCATTTCAACATACACGTGTTTCCACAATGGTTCAATCTGTGCGCAGTGGGCATGTGGAGCCAACTTTTCTCTTTATTTGTTGCCTCGTCTGTTCCATGTTCATGGTATGACTATAAAATTCAATCTTCAATCCAGTGCAATATAACTTCTCCTGAAGTTTCCACTTGTTATATGTTTAGCTTGCATGGATATTGACACAAAATTGTCACGTATTTACGGTTGTGACCACTGCCGAAGAATCTAATACGATCCAAACCACCAACTTCTGACACCAAAATGTCATGTATAGAGTGGTTCGTGTGATGAACAGGTTGTAGATCGGATGATTGGATTTACTGGCACTTCAATTACAATCTCTCGTAATTACAATTACTACAGTGCTATCGCTGATTTACACAATTTACAGTTTACCACTGCACATGCACTAGGATTCTCACTTCCCTTTAGTCGTCTCCTAGCAACAGATCTCAACACAGACACTGTCACTTCAAATCACTATGAAGTCTTCATGTTTTCAATCACTCTGTACCCCTCTGTCCTAATCTGTACTCAACAAATCTTCACAATTCACTAAGGACATGCTCCATTCTCGTCCTTGTATTCCCAACTGCCTTGTAGCTTCTGCTACTACAAATGACCTTCACTGTCTCATATAAACCTTCTGCATGGACCACACAGAAAACACAGCCCCTCTATTGTGTGTGACATCACTGCCTACGCAGAATGTGTTTACTGAGTCGTTGCCTAGCAATGACCATATATTGTTTTCACGCACTTAAGCAAGAAGGTGTTTATTGCATCATTGCCTAGCTATACATGTTACAATATAATCACAACAGTACTTTAAAGGGTTAATATTGGGGCAAATGTTTTTCAAACAAAGAAAACTAGACAAACAGCTGTGCAATTGGTACACAAGGTTTAACGGCAACACTGTGTAGTGCTTCATAAAGCCAGACCAGGTGAAGTGCCCAGTGGAAATCACAGCATATTCTGTGCTGAGTTGTCACATCTCCCTCCACATCTGCACTGCCAAACCCAGAATAAGAGTTACCTTTGCATCTGCTGCCACAGCTCGACTTGCTGCTTGCTGGCGTGCGGTACAGGCTGACACAAGAACTGCCTCACATGCTTCCCAACTGGTAGCAATGCTGATGATGAAACAGCCAGACTGGCATCAATCACCTGCAGTGTGTACTCAAACTGACTCACCAGCTCACCATTCCTTCTGCAACACGTTAATGCAACAACATTATAAATAGACTATATTAATGCAGATGCTCCTGAAAATGGTGCAAGTAAAATGCAAACAGCAACAAATTTGTGTTCATGTACAGTCAGTGGTGCAAAACTTGTTAGTCTGCTGACAGCATGACATTAAGTTCTTCTTAAGACCCAAGTCGGCACTAGTTTAGTGTATGGCAATCAAGTGCTTGGTCTTACAGAACACTTCTTATATGAGCTGGCCTACTGACTAAGTTCATATTCATGTCAATATCCACAGCTGTGTGGTGATCAATGGATAAATGTCTATCTGTCACTATCAAATTACCAAATACCATTACGAACTCCAAGCGATGCGTGCAACTTACACAGCTTCATCCGTCTTCAGTACGAGCTGCAATGACGGTACCGTCCACTTGGAAAGCCATCTGTAATGAACACTCAATTTCGACACAGCTTCCTCAATTAAGTTCCTGGTTCTCAATCCTTTCTTCTTCCTGTCGGTACAGACGAGCTGTAAATCTCCAAGCTCTGACAACCGGAATCTCCACTCCAGAGCTTCATACAGCCTGTTACACTGAGCAACATCAAGGGATGTGTCCTCGGACTTCAAGGCAGCCTCAAAGCATTCATCAAACTGACGTATAAGAGGTGAAAATTTGGTAATGACACAATGGCTTGTAATGTCATCTGCGAGAGTGCCTGGTAAACAAATAAATTCATAAATGTGTAGCTCTTCTACAGCAAACATACAGAATTATGCAATATAATAATGGAAATACTTCTGCAACTTTGCACTAAGAAGATACTGCACTCACCAGCAAAACATTCTGTAACCCAGTCTAACGTCGTCTCATCCACTCAGAACCGAATATAAGTGACAGTATCACTGCCCTGATCTCACAGCTTTGTGCATCTGCCATGTTGTTATTTGCAGGAAATAAAAAGGTAAGAGGTAGAGGTGGCCTCCAATGGCATGATGATTTTTGCAAAGATTATTAAGTTGGTTCAAAAGTTTGAAGGGGACACAGGCAGAATGGTGATCTCATAAGCCTATCTTTTTTCCTCAAGTAAGAAAAAAATGTGTATGCAGTGAAATGCAGCTGAGCTGATGACAACTGATGTGCAGGAGCACATCAAAGAAAGTCAGAAGCAAACATGCATGATTAGGATTATGTGTTCACTTGCAGACATGTCAGGACAATGAACTGCACATGCTAAATAAGTACATCACTTGCATACCGTGCATCAAAGCTGTTGAATATTCCACCACTGTCAGAGACTTCTGTTTGCCAGGAAGTGTTTCTTCAGTCACTCTTTCTGTCTGTATTTTCTTCAGGGTGAACCAAAGGAGAAGAGACAGTTTATTTACTCCTACACATGCAGAACATCTGGAACCACAAAATGCTGCAATGTGTGGAAGCAGATGAATGTCCCACGGTAAGTCCCGTACACTGTACATACTTTTCACAAGATTTACATGAATGTTTGGAGATGAAGAAAAGGCTCGGCAAAGAGTTCTCTTCAACATTTCACATACTTTTTGATATTTCTTCAAAATAATCTCAGCAGTCACCCCTTGACACTTCCTCTTACATTCAGTGATCAAATTCAAGAGCCACTCATGCCGAAGTTCTACGTCACTTTGAGTCGCTGCTCCATAGAACATGAGCAGAAGATTTGGAATGAGCTCAATCACGTTGACAACTGCTGCTACTTTACTTCCAGCAACATTTTCATCATGAACATCCAGCAGTTGGTTCAGTGGTCCCGTGTCTGAACACTGTTTCATGCATCCCACTTCCGTGAGTTCATCAGAGTGCTTGGATCCAGATGAAACACTTGCTTCTAACATGGCTTTCAGCACTGAACCTTGCTGTTTCAAAACAGCAAATGATGCATTTACTTTCACTCTGGAAATGTTCAACGTGAAAACATCCATTGCAAAACCATCTTCTAAGTGCTCATGGCGGGTTTCTTGTACGAGGGAGCTATTGTGTAGTGTCTCTGTTAACAGCTGACTCAACTTTTGTTTCAAGTCTGAACATCGTGATGATCCAGAGGCAGTTCTCACACACGACTTTATGTAGACATCACTGCAGCTGGACAGGAAGGCTTCATACTGACACTGGCCAAGGGATATCTGCTGTGATATCAGGAGTGCCGCATCAAGAAGTTGAGCTATCCGGGGTTCACCCAGACCTGAGAACAATACAGAACCTCAAAACATATTCTTACATGTGTGGTATTTGTGGTACTTGCATTTCCATTCAATTCTGGCTGTTCTCTGTCTGCTGCAAAATCTAGAGAGGCTTTCACATGAAAGGTTGACTTAAGATGCAACGTGATATACATCTGCAAAGCCAAAGTTTCATATTTCATGAGTTATTCCATGCACAGAAACAGCACAATGAAGATGTTTTAGCAGTTAGATGTAAACCAATGAAAATTTAAGTCTTAAGAAAAATGAAGACTAAAAATAATTATGAAGATTACTATGGTTAGGGCAACTAAAGGAAGTGTGGAGATTAATATTTCTGTATTCGTGTAATGAAATTCCTAAAAAGATAAAGCTATCCCTGTATCAGGCAGTGAAAGTCCATAGGGTTGTGAGATGTCGAAGCTCCCACATTTTCTATTGACAATTGGCTTCCAAATGGTGGTAAGGTTGTCAGCCTTACCTGCTGCACGCCCTATACCCCCAGGAAGATTCCTGGTACTCATTTCTTTTAGAGACTGAGTTGACCGCAAGGCCATAGTGTAGCTGGAAGGATTAGGTCAATTTAAAAATCCAATGACTTCATCGGGATTCGAACCCACAACCTTCCGGCTTGTAGCATAGTGCCTCACTAAACTATGCTACCGCATGCATGCCTTTCCTAGGAAGACAATTCATAATAAATGTTATGTTATTTCAATTCCAGTTGCAGATATTAAGAATTTACATGGATGCTCATGGAAAAATTCTACAACACAATTACATCACAATGTGCTCTCACATGACATGAGCCCATATTTGAAGCTCAATGTTATCTCACTAAGCACTCACCTCGTTTCTCCTCAGTCATTACATTATGCACTGATAACAGCACATCCTGCTGACTCTGCAACCTCAACCCAGCATTGTACAGGAGGGACCTGAGGTCCAAGGAGCTGTACTCTTCTTCCTGCGGGCCCGGCAGGTAGATCTCAACTCCACGATTTCTCATGGCCCTGTAGGCAACATATCACATGCAGTGTGTAACAGTCATAAGCAAGCAACAGGGGAGTTCCTGTACCAACTAACACTCATAAGCTTTACAGAGTTCAGTAATTGGTGTTACATCCAATATCCTTCACAAATACAAAAACTATGGCCAAAAATACCAATAAGTTTTTACTGCTTACTTTATACTATGATTACAGAAACACTGAGCCTCAGGTTGCAAGGAACATGGCAATGTCAAGGTACACTTGTCATCATACACAAATGACCTAGCCTTTCTATTTCAAACTGTCACCAACAGAGAGCATCAGAAAGCCAATCTCTGAACTTCCAAGTAACTACCTTGTGGAGCCAATGACTTTCCAGGAAAGTTGTATTCATTGCAAATTTTAAATGGTCACCCAGGAAAGCACAAAGCCCTTCAAATCTCAATACAAGAGGTTAACTACTCATACATAAACCATGGAATAACCCCTTTAATGCAAGGCTCTTATGAGTTATGATCACAAACTAAATTCGCAATATACAGAACAGAAACTATGCCCAGTTCATGAAGCTTGGGAACTTCTGTCAGTGTCAGCTGAGTGTCCACTTGCTTCTGTGAAACAGGCACCTGAACACATGCATTTCGTTTTGCCAGTATGAATCATATTTTGCACATTTAAATACATGTGAGAGTATACAGTAGCCAGTGCTAGAACCCAAGAAATTGCTTATAAATGTCTGAGGAACTGTCATTCAAGGCAGGACTTGAATCCAGGATACCTCAGCAGAAATCATTCTATGTGTGCCATGTCAACACAAACAGCAGTCTGTCTTTAATTCTATGTTTGTAATTTTGCACTACTCTGCTTGTTACCTTTCTAACGAATTATGACCTGCTGCAGGGAGTGTGTCTTATGGGTTGTGACAAGGTGAACACCACTGCCACAAAAGTTTCACATCTCATATGAAGTAACACTGCAAAGTGTCTCAGTTACTAAATAATACAGAATTCAATACCGAGCAAAGGTCCAAGAGAAGATTATTTTGACTTGCCTTGATATTTCTCCATTGTGAGGATCCATAGTTAGGAAGAGCCGAAAGCCTGGGTGGGGGCAGATCGTAACAAGCTGGCCATCAGGGCCAACACCCCTCTCTCCAATCGTAAGAATGCCTCCAGGTTCCAGCAGGGCATTAAGACGATCCAACACAGCAGGTGAACACAAGTTAACGTTATCCACCAACAACCAGCAGCCATCTTGCAGACACTGTCATGAGAAGGTTGTTAAATGTCTGCAAAAACAGCTTCCTGAATTAAGAGAGAACTTCACAAGGCTTACCAATCAACTGTTCTTCACTGCTGCTGTAAAATATTCAACTACTTTGTCACTAATCTTCCCAGTTCTCACATCCGAGAGAGAGAGAGGGGACAGAGATTACCAGTATCTGCTTATTTACTCGTTTCTTTAGGTTTTATTTAAATGTTGACTGTGGTTCAAACTGTACAGCATCACATGATGGGATGACTAATGAACTAGGAGGTGGAAGGAAGCGGTCGTGGCCTATGAGAAGTTACCACACTGCTATCTGCCTGGAGAGAAGCATGAAACGCCGCAGTGAGGAGAGTTGGTGTCCTGACCAAGATCTGATTGGAGCACCCAGTGAGTATATGACAGAAGCATCACCACATAAAGCAGATTGCTTGATACAGTATGTACCAGTACTGTGAGGGGGGGGCTGCTTTGCCTGTGGATGTAGTCAAACTGAATAACTTTCTTTCCAGGACACTTACTTACCTTAACCAGAACACTGTCAATCCACTCAAACTTGCCACCAGCATTGAGACTTCCTTCCTTTGCTACATTCTGAGCTAGCTTCTTGAGTCTGTGTTCCAAAACCTTCAGTTCAGCCTCACAGGTCTGTTGGCCCAACTGGTGAGAGGCAGTGCCAGTCATCAATGCAACTACTATTGCTTGCAGGGCAGCCAATCGACACCCAAATAAACTAGTTTCAGTAATAAGTGTTTGGTGTTCCACATCTGGACCTGTGGAGAAAATCACTGCATATTATTCTGAGGTCACGCAGTCTTCTTGAATGTGACGCCATAGTAAATAGGTATCGATGTTCTGTAGGAACCTGTTTCCCTGCTGGAGGAGTGATGGGTCATATCTCATCTCTGGTGCATGGAAAGAATAGCCACAATAGTGAAATTTGAACTTGGCACCAGTCACTTTGCAGCACTGACCCTGCATGTCAATAGCCAGTATCTTTATAACATCAAAAGATGCTTTTGAATCTGTCTCGCCAGGGTCTAGCACGAAACCAGATGTGGTCTGCAGCACATGCTAGCTGCAGGCTGCTTCCTTCATGAAGGGCTTTGTATCTGGTAGTTCACTGGTTCAGATCTCGGCCTGGATACTGCATATCCTGACTGACGTGATTTATCTCGGCCCATTAAGATAAATGTCAAGGCAGTACATAAAATAAGGCCATGTCCATTGTAATTCATTACTTGCTGATCATCCTATCATTCGACATTACACAGTATGTGCCATTAGGTAAACCATAAGTAAATAAATGAATACTAATATGGTAAGGCAGGTTGAAAATTCAATGGGAAGTTTACATACAGGGGATGGACAAAAATATGGAAACACCCAACAAAAAACACATTACTGTGACTAATATGGTGTAGGACAACCTCTGGCTTGCAGTCTCCTTGGAATGGATAAATAGAGATCCTGTATGATTTTCAAGGGAATCTTGTACCATTCTTCCTGCAAAACATTGGCAAGTTCTGTTAACAATGATGGAGGTGGATAGTAAGCACGCAGATTGCTCTCCAAAACAGACCACAAAGGCTCAATAATATTGATATCTGGCGATTGTGGGGGCCATGGCAGACATGACACTTCATCTCCGTGCTCAGAAAACCAGTCCTGGATGATGTGAGCTGTGTGAACACGGGCACTGTCATCTTGGTTTGCACCATGGGATGGACCTCGGCTACCTTGGTTATGTAAGCACCCACATATGGGCCCCAACAATTTGCCTGTGTTCGAATTCTGTTAGCTCTGACATGATGCATTAAAAACTGCACAGAACACTGTCTCGACAACAAATGAAGCTTGCAACGTATTGCAGCGGTTTTATGCGTAGTGCTATTGGGCAGATAAGGCAGTGTCACCTATAAACGTCGCTAAAATAAACACTTCAATTGAGGCATGCATTTCACGAGGTGTTTCCATATTTTTGTCCATCCTTTGTATAAACTTGTATTTATCTGCTATCCCATGTCTGTCATTTGTAAGTCTTGTTCTCATTTCTTCCCCTTTCCTTCCCTCCTCTCCTTACGTTACAGCAGTTTCGATAACATGCCTTGATACACTGTCAACTCTGAACTACAGTAGATGTGTCTGATGGTTCATTTTTGCATTTAATTCCCATGGGAACCGTGAGAACAACATAATGTACAAGTGTGCCCTTCTCAGGCTATCTTGTAACGGGGTTCTTTACGTCTGCAGCCCGCAAGAAAACACGTGGCGAGCGTGAAATATTAACGGCACACTAAGTCTCGCTTTATATGCAACGCGTCTGCGCCGAGGTGAGGCAATTCCGCTGGGAAAGTGTTTTCTTGTACACGAGCTTACAAGTTGCAGGACGGACTTTTTGTGGCGGGCGTCTGCCTGAGCGGATGGATGGGCGAGAGGCCGCGGGTTCACAACAAACCGTCTGCTTCATGCATAGTTTAGCAAGCCCCAGCTCGGCGTAGAAAAGCCTTAAAGGGTTACAGAAGGCGCCAATGCAAGGCAGCGGGAAAGATGATGATTATGAGGATTGCAGAGGGGAACTGTGAAAGAGAAACCAGCGCGACCATGAGCAGCAAGCGTGAAAGGTGAAAGGCAGAATCAGGTACAGAGGTTACATCTGTTACTATGGGCCCCATCAAAATTTTTCCAAGGAGAAGAGGGAAAGCAGCCATGAAATTTACTTTCAAACTTATGTTTAAACCACTCTTTATTGACAACCCTCGAATATTCAGGAAATGACAACTTTCTGAGAGTAAATTTATTTCTTGTACCAGTATTATGCATGTTGCATTCTCCTTTAGAGCGTGATCTTTCCAAGAATTCATGGGTGGGGTAGATACCTGGGGTGCCCCCCACGCCACACCGGCGCCCGTGCGCAAATGGCGTAAAAACGGCAAATATGGAAGGTTATTAATGCGAAAGAAAGCCGAATGCTGGATGTGAGGTTCTCACGGCGGTAACTATGAGCAGTACGGCCTTCTGGGTTGTAATGCCGTGCAGACTGGAGGCGACCAGACGTTTCGCAGGAACATATCGCCTCCATCCTCAGGGTTGAAGAGTAGGATCACATACTACAGCCTAATATACGAGCCTATGATAACATTGAAGCATTGGTGGAATGATATTTGGTAGGGGAAACATAAATGCGGGGGGGGGGGGCTGCCCTGGGAATGAACCCATAAGCCGGTAGTGACCATCTAAGCTGCGGGGCAGGCACAACCCATCTTTGCCAGGCAGAGTTCAGGAGGGCTCAAGCGGTCATGGGTACACATGCTTCCTGAAGGTGGGCTGAGAATCAGAAATGTTCTACCATCCACTCCTCTGCGATTTAACTAGTTATTAAATGATGATTTATCAAGTACTGAGACACAAAGCACAGAATGGCAGCGTAAGCGATTCAGTCACATGACACATACGGCGACAGAGGTGACCAGAGGGACTGGGATAAATCACGACAGCCCCTTGGAACTGTGTTGCACACCGACTCGGAATCACTGAGCCAGCTTACATCATAATTTGGTACCCTTCGGAGCACAGTGGTGCCTCCAGGTGCCATCTGCTTTAACATTCAAAAGCCCTGCATTCTGCTCCGCACGGTACTCAGGAATACACAGCATTCAGAAGCTGGTCTCTGTGCTGCTTCAGGTACTGCTGTATACACGTACGTGTAACGCTCCTATCACAATTCCGACGTGATGCCTCAAAGCTTATTTCCCCTGCTGCTATAGCCATAATACACGAGTAAAAGTCGTTAAAATACACGAAAACAGCAAAAGTGGGTCCAGTCATTGCAACACGCATCTTGCGTGTCTAAGCCCCAACTTGTCTCGAGGTTACGCACCCATCCGCCATTCCGTTTTATTTATGAAGGGCAGATGGGAATGCCGAACAGGGTGCTTTATGGGCCCTGCTGTGTTCTGGTGAAGGTGGGCAACGGCCCCGGGGGAATCTGCCACCAACAGGCAGTACCTTGCTGCCAAGCGCATTGTGAAGGCAATACCTTGGTTCGAGAGCTGTCGGAAATCCTCCCACTGCCGCAGGAGCCCACATGACGCCTCTGCGACGTCACGACTCCCCGTCATCAGCCGACGTCTCACGGCAGCCATGAGGAGACGCTCCACGTGTGCAGCAATCTCATCCAAGTGACGACTATAGTCGGCCTGGCGGAAACAAACACAAATTCCCAGGATGTCAATTTACATCGATAAATCGATACGTCACACTACAGGAGAAAAAACTCGGATTCGACATCGAGAATAACGATATCAATAGTAATTTCTCGATAGCTTAAACTCATTTTCAATAGAAGTAGCACGCCACTGGCCCCTACCTTAAGCCAGATCAATCCAGTTTACACCCTGCTATTCCATAACTTCAGGATTTATTTTAATGTTATTCTTTCTCCTCATGCCTATTTCTTCCAAGTGGTTTCTTCCCTCCTGTATTTCCTACTATAATGTTACTGCATTTCTCTGCCAAGCGTGCTACATACCCTGCCTACTTCTAAAATATGTGGGGAGAGAAATGAGAAATAAAGGAAGACCGATATTTGCTATGGAGCCTGAAGGAAGGCAAGACGGAGCAATGGAATACAGCCGAATGTACGAGTACTATGTTACGTGCCATTTGTGAGCATATCGGGTCCTGACTTCGTCCAACGTCCCGTATTCGGAGCCGCACACGTTTCGAGCACTGGATCCGTTTCCGTCTTCAGTCCAAAAGATGGAGAGGCGTGCAATCTGTTGGGTTCGCCACGATTAGCAAACTGACTGGATTTTTCCAAAGTTTTTTCATCTGAAGATGGAAACAGATCCGGCCCTCGACACGTTTTCGGTTCGGAATAGCTGCGACAGATATAGTCCACAAACAATGTCAGAATCGTTTAGGAGTGATTTATATTTCATTTCTTGAATGCTGTCACGTTTCCTGACATGTCTACCTCTATTAATTAATGGCAACACACTTGTCGCGGCATTTGTAACATGTACAAGCGAGAGTTGGCTTCTGCCACACAAAAAAAAAATTTTAACGTACACAGAGTGGCGCGATTACCCAACTTTCCCCTAATATATCAGGCCATCGATTTTCGACATGACGGCCTGCCGCTCTGACAAGTTCAGCGTGTTCAGGTCACTTTCACTAACACGGCATATTGTATAGAAGATTATACAGAACATATCTACTTACTTACAATTAAGCTCTCAAAAATGGCGCGTGTTAGCGTGACACGCACATGGGAGGTACTCGGTTCTAACCTCGGCCGGCATATCAGATATCCTTCGTGGTTTTCCTTAGTCCTTACAGGCAAATTTCGAAAGATACCCTTACAGACTAGCTGCTGACAGCGTCTCCCGCTGAGCAATGCTACAAGGACGGGCAGAGCTGCCCCGTGCTCTCAGCTAACTCGATCTGCACCGGATAATTTCATTTGGGGGCCACACATTTCATGCCCTTCCGATATCGGCCATTTGGAATAAAGAGAGACGCCGAACACGGCGACCTTGTTGGTTTGTTAGTTGCTTCGTTTCAGTCACCCTTATCTGTTTACGCTACACCAGGCGTGCTGAGTAGTCACGTCCCCGGCTTCGCATTTGGACTGGCTCGGGTTCGTATCTCGGCACACACTGCCTATCCTGACTTAAGATTTTCGTGTTCTTTCACAGTCCCCCCCCCCAGGCAAACATCAAATTAGACCCTAGTCGTTTCTTTCCAGATTCCCTGCTATTTGTCTTTCATTAATCATCCTACCATCCGACCCCTTCTTACCGAGCGGACTGGCGTGGCGGCAACGCTCCGGGCTCGTAATCGGGAGGTGCTCGGTTAGAGTCTCGGCCGGAGGAACGGGCTAGCCCGAGGTTTCTCGTGGTTTTACCCAGTCCATCCAAGCAACTTCGCGCAGTGCCTCGACTAGCCATGAACGCTCCTTTCAAATCCTTCCCAGTTTATCCATTATCCTACGAATGGACACATACAGTGCTGCCACTGACGGCGTCGACAAAGAACGCACAAAAAGTTTCAGATGTTAGAAGTGCCGTTACGTCAGGACAGACAGACAAGTGGAGCTGAGTCACGTGGCATGTACAAATGGCATGGCCGGCACA